GCCTCGATTTGAAGTTCACTTTCCATCACGACGAACAGCCGCTCAATTCTCTCTGTACCCAACTCAACCTTTCTGAGCCTGGCTGCCTTTCCTGCGCCCCACGAGACCACTGTACAATTTGCTGACAAGAACGGGATCTTGAGCAACCTCACAGCAAGCTCGCCCTACGTTCTCCCGTCCTTCCCAGCCTCTCGTGTTACCGGTGCAGTCTTGCGAGCCTAGCCCCGAGTAGCAAGCAGACTCGACCTCATCCTCGAATCCTTCGCCCGATCCTCCGTTTAAGACGAGCATGGCCAAAGACAGCAGTGCAGGGACATCTCTCTTGGGATGCTTTTGTGATCAATAGCAGGCGTTCTACCGCAGCGGGGGCATGGCGGTCGTCGCAAAACCTCACCAGAGCAACCCGGTTCTGTAGCGCTAGGGTCGGACGCCCTTTCTTCGCAGATCTGCCCCGCGCTTGCCCCCTCAATCATTCTATAGGGCAATCCCCTGCCACTGTTGTAATAGAACAGGGCTGTGCGTGAGACAGAAAATACTTCAGGTATACGCCTCTACACCCTGAGTAAGGGCAAACTCGCTGATTAGACGACCACCTCGGGCCAAACCTGAGGTTGTTGTATGATAGGATGACCTCTTCCTTGTCGCACGTCGGTCTCGACTCGAATCCAAATCCTCGTCGTCACCGATACGTCCGCCGAGTACTCCAATAGACCTGGCGCTTTATGATCCTAATCTCCGCGGAGTCAATACAGCTAATTGCTAGAAATCCAGGTTCCTGGCCATGGCCACCAGACCATGCACGTATCCTGATAGATCTCTCTGTGACAGAGGCGAAGCCGACAACCGTACTATTTTCGAGAGTTACGACTACAGCCCATCGTTGTTACTGTCAACATATGTTTCGACACAGTAAGAGGATGATAAATTGTCCGAGATTGAGACCACGAAGTACAGGGTTCGCGGATGGTTACAAGCTTGAGTCCGGTTCTTCATCTGCTGGGCCGATGGCGACTCTGGTACCGGAAACCGTTCTGAGAAATTCTCTAGGATCATACCAACCAACCACGACAGGCTTCACGCAGGTCCAGAACTTGAAAAATGTTCTTCAAGAATTGGTCAGCCATGAACCAGTAATGTGTCTGGCCATAGGCAACGGAACGGTACTTTGGAAGTAAAACCTCGCAGCAAAAATGCTTAGAACCATTGACACAACGCTGCGATCCAACGCCATAAGTACCGAGCCATCGAACAGGCATATGTGCTTGAAGACCCTGCAGACGAGCTCTGTCGGGAGATCCGATATACCCCTCGCAGCCTTTCCCAGAGATATGCAGCCGTTTGAAACATACGCCAGTGCATCGTGGTATAGCGGCTGGTGCTGCACCCAGCGCTTCATTGAGATCAAACTCTCCTCGTAGGGTGGAAAAATGCGACCATATCAGTCCAAAGCGAGGTCTCGTCTAGGCCAAGGCCACCCAGGGACGCTACCTTGGACATCACCATACTCAGAAATGAGACTGTCGTATCCGCTTCTTGACTTACTACCTCCAAGGATGGGATTGTGCGATCCAAGTATGCCCTGGATACATGTCCATTTTCCACTGTGGAAGGGGAAGGGCTCTTCGCATTCGTACATCATCCTAGAAGAGGAAAGACATTACTCCGGAGATGTCAGGAGTATAGAAAGCTTGAACTGTTGAGAGAAGACTTTGGGTTCGGTGTCTTCGCTGGTAGCGTCATCCCACGTCTTCTAAAGTTGGGTACCTGAAGTCGACGTCTCCCTTACAAACCAGGATACCTCTTCGGTACCCATGGTTGCCATTCGCAAACTTGCGAAGTGAGAATATATCTCCAGGGCCATGTATGCGTCCTTCTCTGTCATTTTACAGGTGCGGAAGGCGACATCCAGCTCCTTATCTTTCCCTAGCAATGCGAAGTATGTCATAACATCCTCCCCATCTCTCCCAACGCGCTCGCCTACTGGGGTTTTTGTTGGAGATACTCGTGCGAGCCGGATATGGCGACCGCCTGCGAGATGAGGTAGTGCTTCATGCTCTGGGAATGCAGGCGATGTTGTACTTTCCTATCGGTCCAAGCGGAGGGATAGAAGACGGACGTGGAAGCTACATCTTTTCGTGATCTTGTGGTTTCCTCAAAAGTCACTTTACGATAAAGTGTTGGTCACTCCTTGTGGCTGAGAGACGCCAGAGATTCGTTGCCGGCTTGAGTGTGTAAAGAGCCTTGTAAGATGCTCGTCGTAGCAATTGGTTTGTCCGCCGACTGCATGCGTTGTCTTGCTGCGGAGGCGGCTGTCCGCAAGCATCCACGGGATCAAGCGATGATCGGAAATTGGTGCGTAGCCAGTTTCAGCTCCTATGGGAGAGGGCAAGCATGTTGGTATTTGCGGATCCGCCTCCTAGCTGAGGGGTTGCTTGGAGGGCTTCTATCGCCTCAAGGGCCCCCAACGCCTGGAGAGCTTCTGATATTATCCATAGCTGTCAGTGCTATCATCTTGGTTGTGACGGTATGCTGTAAGGGCTGTCTGTGGGTGTCGTTGAGGTCGAGCATGCTGCCAGGAGGACCTACAGGAGAGGGGTCGCATTCGCACTCGATCTGACGCCGCCAGAAGGTGTCGTTGCAGACGAAACAAGCAGTACCATCTCGCCGTCGGTATCGTTATGAGCTTTCCGGAGGTACCCGGGGGCTGATGAAGACGTTATCGTAGTTGCAGTCGTTATGGTATCGGTGGCCAAGGACGCGATGGTAGTACGGTACTGCGGCGGTGGCCGATGGCGCAGAAATGCCTATGCGCACATCGCAGTTATCGCAACTATTGTCAGCGTATGAGAGCTATCAGGCTTGTGTCTAAGGCTACAGGTATAGTCGCACGTGGCGGTCGTGTGGTAAAGCTGTCAAGATTTCGGAGCCAGAAGCTGTGAGAGACCAGAGTAGGCGAACACCAAACCTGAGGATCGCTACGCCGAAACAGCACCGCCATGGATTGAACAGCGCCTGCACGTTCACTTCACCATTGACTTGGTCTGAAGTCGGAGTTTCATGTGCTTGCCGGCAGTACAGTTATATCAACGCCCCTTCCTTATGGTGACCGGAATACCGAGTTCCTACAAGATTCTTCATCTGATTTCTGGCATCCAGAGGGTTCGACGAACAGCACCTACGATCAAAGAATTACAGGATCAGCTCATTGAATATGTGGAACATAGAGTGCTGGCGTCATTTGAGAAGCTTTTTACACGAGACACAACTTGCAAAAGTGGAAGATACACCTTTCATACAGCCAACACGCCAGTCTCGCGTTTAATGGGCTAGATATGAGACCCTCCAGGAGTCGTACACGAATCTTTGGCTTCGTCTATATCACGCATACAGCTTCTGGAACTAAGTTTGGAAAGCTTGGGCTACTTTAGTTCAACTGGAGCAGATCGTGCCACGCGCCTATGAGCCCCCATTTAGCTCCTTCACACTCCAAGATGCTAGATTACCGTCAATTCCGCCAATGCTTGACCCGTGTGTCAGCTGAAAGTGCCACATCTGGCTCCACATGCCCTGAGAATCATAGGTCTAGAGTGAACTCTTGGTTGTGGTCAAGGTCCATCGTCTGCCCATGTGCACCCCCAAGCACGTTCCAATACAATCGAACTAGTTTTGCTGTCGATTCGGTATCACAGATCGACCCACTCTCCAAATCACGACTGAATTGGATACCGCGAACAGTAAGACCGCTGGGGTTGTGGATGAAGACCCTGTCGATATCGTTGGCCAGCAGCGACGCATCGGCGTCGGTAATACTTGGCGGATGCGTTTGCTTTGTCAGAGCTAAGTCCATACCAGTTCTTACGCAATGGATGTCGGTCTTGTTCCAAACAAAGCGGTACGTGTAGGGAACCCTGGTGTAGTATTCAGCTTGAATGCGTCCACCACGCTGGGCAAGCTTTGGCTCGATCTGGCAAGGTAGAAACCAGAAAACCTTTCCCGGATCTGTCCAATCGTATGACACATGCTCAAATATGATGGGACTCTTGAAGAAGGCGTCAAGCATGCAGCGAGCGAAGAGTTTGTTGACAAGCCGGATCTTCAGGACCTCCTGGATTTTTGCTGCGTCGATTGTAGTGGCCACTGGCTGATAACCATACTTGCGTTCGTCGTCTTCACACCAGTGTAGTTCAGCAGCGTAAGAACAAAGGCCTGTCAAGAAGCCTGGATCCTTTGGAAAAAACGTCTCACAGCAGAGAAGCACACCCCCGATATAGTTGTTGTAGTGGCACTTCATGATGCGTGTGATCACCTCCTCTGGCAGGCGCGAGAAAGAATCTTGCGAAGACGCAGCTATCCTTATGGTTTCCGTCGACATATCGATGAAGCGTCGCGGTATGGATGGTTCGAATTGCCGAGCGAGATCACAATGCCTCAGGCGACTCTTGTCTGGTCGTGGTGGTTTGAGCGGGGAGCTGACAAAACGTCAGCGGGATCGGTCTGAATATGACGGTAGACCTTCAGGGGATATACAGCTTTGCGAGCTTCTGTCTCTGGTTGTGAGGGCGCCGGTGCGGTCTGGCGTGCGAGAAAAGTGTAAGACGAACACACTTAACGAACATCAACATCACGCCGGATTGTGAGGCCCAAGCGTTAGCCATGACTATGCCAACTTCCTAAACTGCGCTAAGAACTTCTTGTATGTCTGAAGGATATTCTACGAATTGTCAGCAACATTTTGGGCCGATGGACTGAGCTGTCACTGTCCATGCTTGAAGTGTCGAAGCAGAAGCATACGCCAGATGTCAACATTTCAAAATAACTATGGGATATGCAAAATGGTAAGGCAGACTTTACGTAGAGGAATATGTCTTCATTTATGCTTGGTCTATCTGATATCAAGCGGCCAGCTCCTCCATCGACAAGATGTCTTCCATCATCGGTTTAGCGAGCACGCACACCAACTGGATAGCCTCTTCGGTCCAAGGACCACGTGTTCCACCTCGTCAAAACCACTCCATCTCCTCCTGGGTCGACGGCGCCATCGTCAGTGTACCGCTCGCGAACTGTCCTGTCCCCCAGAAGAAATTGGACGCTGGTTGGCCCAGGTGAACTGGTGACCAAAGCGAGAACATTTCCCCAGAGTCCTCCTCACGGACGACACCAGTAGGTGCCTCTCGAGCCAGAACGTAGTCCGCTTTGGCAAGCCTGTTTCTGAATGTCGCAGGGTCGCCGCCTACAGCTTCCACCATCTGATTCAGGTGTGCCCTAGCTGCCAGCGTGCCCCGAGCTTGCTGTTTGAGGACTGCCCAGCGAAGAGTACCGTTCGGTTGTTTCATATAAACTCGTTCGCCGTCCACGAGGTTGCTCTTCGACTCTTGACTACACTATAATTCGTTAGGATACAATCGGGAATATGAGAAGGAGGGTAAAAATACTCCATGTTCCCTTCCATACGACCAGTACGTATTGGTCGCGTTGACCACGCAGGCACGGCCACGATCCCACGCACCAGGATAAGGCGGAGATGGCGGAGACGGGGGAGGAGGGGACGGCTTGGGGGAAGACGCCGCGGTTTCCTGCCGACGACGAGGACTTGAAGACTCCGTGAATCTGGAGGCAATCGAAGAGGCAGAGGGATCAAGGCCATTCGGGTCCTGGGCCAAGATTTCGTCAACGACTCTGTTCGTATACGCAAGCATGTCCTCTGGGAGGTTGTTGAACATCGCTACGATAGACTCGAATGATGGTGGGGTATTTGACTGCATACTGATGGTTATACGACTTTGGCCTGCTGAAGAGAGGGGAAGTGAGACAGAGTTGTTGTGTCCTTTGACCTTCCTGCCAAGACTGTGAGTGGGCTAGCGTCCTTCGCGAACGGTCACCCAGGCGATACGCGAAGAGGATTAAGGGAGTGGTAGTGAGAGGGGATGAATTTCGAAAATCTACAAATCAAAGGAAGCGCAGAGGCAACATCACGCTGGTTTCGAGGTTTTCGAAGAATGTACTCTCCAGGGAGAGATTGACAGTGACATCTTGGAACATATGGCATTACAATGGAGGTTTCTGTCTAACAAGTGGTATTTGATTAGGGAGCTTTCAGCACTTGAAGGTGTCCTAGAGAAAGGGGAGATAACATCTAACCGTAGCCGATGCATAATCGTCTTCCATCATCGGCGCCTTCACATCCTTGGTTCTGCTCTATGGTATGTTTGAATGCCTCTTGTCCACCTATGTTACGTCCTCAGGTCAAAGCAGATGTGTCCGAAGAACACTCCTCATACGATTGGCAGTAGCCAGTTCGCTCCTAATATCGTTTCCAGAATCCCAGAACCCATGGCCAGAGAAAACGTCGACTCGTACTTCGCGGTAAGCTCGTAGTAGCCTCGTCCTTGCCTCTTCAGCTTGGGTTTGTGTTATGCGGAAACAGCCTTCCCTCCTCGACTAGCATATGTCGAAGTATCTCGATGCGTATCTCCGTGGGCAAACCGAGGAATCTGAGCAGTACAGTTTGTGGCTAGGGCGTTGGTAGGAGGGCGTCCATGGCGGCGATGTTGGTTTTTTCGAGCTGGGCGGCAGCTACTGAAGATAGCGAGGGAGAATGGGGCATACGTGATCAGTCAGAGCATAACTAAAACTGTGATACGTGTTGTATACATACCATGGGTAGAGTTGGAACGATGAAGGGATTGCTGCTCGTAGACAAGAGCGATCAGTTACGGCGGCTCGTGAGGCTGAGATACTTTGAATCGTGTGCTTTAAAGAGTTAGAGTCTACGAGTATCAGAGAGGGTGGTAGACAAATTGGGGTCGCGAGGGTGGAAGAGTTCAAATCAGTGTGCGTATCGCAGACGCACGCTTTCATTATGCGGTGGACGCGCATCATACACATCAAAACATCTCTCTGGGACAAAACCTTGCAACCAGGTGAACAGAAGGCAAAGCGCCATATCTGGTTGCAGCAAACGTATAAAGATGAACTGTTTATTTGGACGTATGTGGTCTCGTTGTACACTTAAGAGCCACTATCAAATGTAAACTACTATTCGAATCGACAGCATATGTATCGATCTACGATTCAGGCGTGTGGACCACTTGAAAAACGCATCCCTCTACGTAACAGAATGACCCGAGAATGTTGGCACGTCAAGGTGCGAAATCTGCATGTAGCTTTACATACCACGAGCATAGCACGATGATGAGCAAGAGGTATCATAAAATATACATGATGCTATTACGATGATCACACTTACCAGTCTACATCGCTATGTTCAACCAGAATCGCGACGTGTACTCGGGCGATAATAAGTCTTGATTTGGAGTCGCTGAGTGCGAAAGTCTCGGCAAGGCAGGCATCAGTCCGATGCTCCGTATCGATACTGTCTAGAGCCCATCAAAGGAGGAGTGTGATGGATGTCCGGTTCGAAGAGTAGTCGAACGTTCTTCGTGCTCCTTGCGATCTTGTGCTTCGTACACTTGGTAAATCTTATCTAAAATGAAAATACATCATGGGGTCTTTGAGCTGACGTCACCTAACTCTGCATTCATTTCGGCCAAGGCGCTCTCTATCTCGCCAGAATGGCTCATTGCCCATGCAACGAACACTAGTCCGATCGCGCAGATAACAAATGCTTGGGTCGCGATGAGGGTGATCTTCCCTTTGAAGGTTCGAACATTAGGTTGGGTCAAAACACCGAGAACGTCATCTACCAGCGCGACATAGGCCGTGCGAAAGAGCGTTCGATCCACCATGACGACGAGTCTTTGCAGGACAGGTGTATCGAACGCCAGACAGAGTGCGACCATTCTGCTACCGACAATCCACATCAAGGCAACCAGAAAATTTGATCGCCGCTGTTTCGTGCCAACAGCAGGTTCGCCGATGATTTGGTCGGCGCCGTAACTCAATAGTACATCCATCAAGAAGCGTGTAACGTTGTACGGCGCATCGAACAGCCGACCGTATGTTGCGATTACACCTGCGCGGTAGAAGTCGTTTTTACGCGTGAAGCGGATCGATTGCTCGGGAGTAGGTTCGGGTTGGTTTGTGTGGTAGAATAAGGATGCTGCGAGATATGTGGGTATCGCAAAAGAGGCCGTGATTGGTAGTATGTTCGTGCCAGTTGGAAGGCCAAGGGCTTGGTGGATGGCTGGCGACAAGGATAGAGCAAAGATGCTGGCGATCATGGGGGCGTACAGATGGACATATCGGCGCCATGCCGAGATGGCGGGCTGTGCCTCTCGTTCGGGGAGAGAGGGCACATCCGAAGGGCTCTGCGATTGTCCATTCGCGTGGTGGGTGTCCATTGCGAGAGGAATGTCGCACGTGGTGGTAAGCTTCGCGTGCTCCAGGCCGCCTCTTGGCTTGGGGAGCTTCGTTGCGCACAGACAACCTTGGAAAAGACCCCCCTTTGTATGAACAGGCCTCCTCTCTTACCACCCACAACTCTGCCTAAAGCACAACCGTTCAATGGCCTTCATGGCTTTGTACATATCCTCGCCACGCTTCCTGCCTGTGTAAACAGTGATCTATGTGCACACACTGTGATTTTCGAGGGCCCGAAACTCAGCATTGAGCCACACATGATGGCATGAACGAATGCGAAAACGAATTGCATCCTCCCCCACGTTGTCGCTAAGTCCACTTGAAGCACGCATGTAATGCTCGTCCACGCAACCTCTGACACGATGTGGCTGTTAGGCCATGAACGTGCCGGTGGGACTTGAGAAGGCCCACAAACCCGGGTTGCTTCAACAGGCAGTCGCTCACCACCGCAAAGCATCAACAAAGCGCCAAGAAAGCCATGCTCCTTTCTTTTGAAACGAGATGACTACATTCAAAGGGAAGTGAGGTCGAAAATCGCGCATGGTCATAGGCTGAAGCGGCAGAAGCCTGCTTTCGTGCATCGTAGCGTGGCTGTGTACGTGTTCGAAAATCGCTCACGGCTAACCATCAACGGTCCCGAACAACACCATCGCCAATGGATTATCGTGCTCACGTGGGAAAAGGTCCGGCGGGATACCTCTGGCGGTCGCGATTTACCTGTTGCAGGACCCTGGTCTTGTCTTGGTTTGTATGAGGTATTTGTGCGTCGAATCGCTTCAACTCGACTATGACAAAGAGGTGAAAGATCCTGTACCACACTCTTGGTGCAATTTCATGTAGCTCAGCTTTCCAAGGATTTTTTACGTCCTAGAAACGCCTCCCAGAGCGAACGAGCACGTGTTTGACGCGTTGCCAGAGCTGCCAGAACCATGCTGCTTGTCATAACGGCAAATGGTCTTTCCACTTGTCACAGTATAAGTCGCGCTTCATGCATCCATGAGTCTTGTGCTACCTGTCTTCTCGCTTTCTAGTTCGTTTCTACCTCTTTTCCGCACATCTCTTTGTGGTGCTCCATCCAGTGTCTAGCCCACTACACCGACAGGTCCGTACATGGATCAAGAAGAAGAAAAGGTCGCACCTCGCGTCCGTTTTGGAGAGCTTCGCCTTCCTGACGAAGAAGATGGGTATGCGACGCACGAACGCCGCCATGAGCGTAATCTATCGCGACGGTCAAGTGTGGGCAGTCTCTCCATCCGCAGTGCTGGAGGAGCTCGCACTGTTCAGCCCGAGACTGCACTGCCTATCACTTGTGAGCAATGCTTCTATGTGGACCTCGTGTGAAACATGTGCTGACCTCCTCGATTGATATTCAGACCGTACGCTTTCCATCGAGATCGATGAGGGTCAACACAAGAAGCAGATCGAGGTGAAAAAAGCCAAAGAGAAGGCTGCTGTTGGTAAGTTTGCTCAAGTATACCAGCGCTATTAGTACTGAGTATCGTGTTCTAGATCTAGCAGATCTCGAATGGCATACACTCGCCGTCCACGAGCTGTGCCGCCGCCTCTCTGTCGATATCGAGCAGGGACTTTCCGAAGATCAAGCAAAGCGTCGCCTCAGCGAACATGGTCAGAACAAGATGACACCTCCACCCTCGGGCCTGCTCTGGAAGATCATAGGCTACTTCTTCGGTGGCTTTGGTAGCATCCTCGTCGTTGCCGGTATACTCGTATTCATCGCCTGGAGGCCTCTTGGTCATCCACCAGCTGTTGCCAACTTGGCGCTTGCATGTGTATTGATCGCTGTCTGGCTTATACAAGCCGCTTTCAATGCATGGCAAGACTGGTCGACAAGTAGAGTGATGGCATCTATCGGAACAATGCTGCCCGATCAATGCATCGTTGTGCGTAACGGATCGCATGCTAGCATTTCAGCACTGGACCTGGTGCCTGGCGATATTATTGTCATCAAGCAGGGCAACAAGCTGCCCGCCGATGTTCGTTTCGTTGAAATTTCCAGCGATGCCATGTTCGATCGCGCAATCCTTACTGGTCAGTATTATGT